CACATATGACACACTCAGCATTATGGCTTTTAGAGCAAGAGCAAGCCTTGAAATGGGCAGCATGGTTTGCATTTTCTAAGTTGAACAGCCAGCAAAAAAAGATAACATAATGAAGACCACAGGACCAGTATATAATGATAAAACCAGCCACTATGAGTGCCACATCACTGCAGGGCTTCTCAGAAGAAGTGCCAAGGAAGAGCTTTATGTGTGCCCCTGGAGCACCCAGGGCAGTGACACCACAACAGGACCACAAACCAGCTATGGCACTGCTGGGACACAGCTCTTTTGGGCTGCTTTTGGTTTACAGTCCATTTCAGATTTATATTCTGCAGTCATGAAAGGAGCAACTCATCAAAGTTTTGTTTTGAGTGCACTGCAGCATAACTGGCTGAAGTTTTAGCTCAGCCTCATCAGTTTACATCAAAGGAGGATAGTGGGTTGGGAGATGTTGGTTATTACTCAAGCACTTCATGGAATACGCGACAGATCAGAACTGTAGCCTTTGATGGATTATTTCTTGAGTAAAAACATACTTCAAGCATATACTTCTGCCACAACAGTAACTCTTTTCCTTCTGTCCAGGGGGAGGATATTACAGTACCATAATTAATAACCAAAACCCCCCAAGATTTGTAATCTATACCTGCATTTAGACTTCTGGAGCTCTCAGACAAAAGACAAATTTGTGGTAGTCTTGATATTTTATTATGCTTTGCAACTGAGAAGCAGGCCATGCAGTCTTAACTAGCAGAAGTTAGGGTGACAGGAAGTGGAATTTGTTTTAAAATGGAGCCTGAATAGTTTCTGAAATGTATTAGATGATGTGGTTGCTAGCAAAAACTAGACATGATGACCCAGATCTTTTCCCATCCAGTGCAAAAGATGAGAATGATGTAGCTATGTGATTAATTAATGAAATACAAGGCATGGACTTTTTCTTGCTGGATTGTTTGTACATGTCTAGACCAAAAGGGCTCACTGAATCTTGGGCCTCCAATTCCTGCTATGGTTCACACTGAAGCAAAGGGTATGAACCTGAATTGTGCAAGTATGCTCCTTGGCTCAGTGTCTGCAAACCAGCAGACTCAAGACACTAACTTTTACACGAAAGAAGCAATGAAAAAAATTGTTAGAAATCTTGGGATATCTTCTGTGTTCTTCAAGGAAAATAAATGCATACTTTTCTAGATGTTTCATAATAGAGAAACTGGCTAATATGCCTGATGAATGAAATGCAAAGGAATTGTTTTTATACCAAAGCAGGATTCTAGCAGTAGCAACATTGCCTTATGAAAGCTTACACCTGTGGAGTTTGCCACCTCCAGACCTGCTCATCCAATTGCACAAGTGAGTGCTTCCCTTAATAATTTCCATGACAAACTGTGTTACATTAAACATCTTAGCAGTAAGGCTCTTCCAACTCAACTCATTTGGACTTAGTGAGGGAGTGATCACACAATTAAGAGCTGCTGGCAGACCTCGATGGCAGTAAACTTTGCTGGAGTTGAGCCACAGGGGTGATTTCTGTATCTAGGAAAAAAGATGCATGGGATAGCTGAAAGCTGAATCTCAGGACTGGCATTTCAATCTTGATCTTCAGTATAAACAAGTGGAAAGATTTGAAAAACAGATAAACAGATCAGAAGTCTAGTTGGCTTTCTATGCCATCACCCAATGGCAGCTGTCTAAAGGACAGTGTAAGAAAATTCCACGACTAAAGCAGTATTTTGTTACCCCTTCCCAGCTTCCAGTAAGGTGCAGCTTAGGGAAATCCCAAGATAGTGGTGTAACTTAATTTTTAACAGCACCTGACAGACTTTTGCCTCACATCTTTATTGAACCCAGATTTTGGTAAAATGTTGCTATTATTAAGAAAAAAAAAGTCTAAAAATTAAAAAGTACCACTTTGAACTCAATTTGGGAAAAATCGACCAGTTCTTTCCACTTTTCTCATCCCTTCCTCCCCACAAAGGTGTTTCTTTGGGATGGCTGTAAACAGCAGTTATGGGGATAGCAGTTTTGTGTATTTTGGCTTTTCAAAAAGACTTTGTAGGCAAAAGATCTGTGTAGTTTAGGGAACTAGCAGTAGTATTGGCATCATTAGGCTGAGAAGTATTTTCTTTTCAAAAACTACATATGTTCTCACTCTGTTTGCTTGCTTTCTTAGAAGAAAATGATTCACGATTAAAGGGGAAAAAAATCCGTCTGTGACTGTGTAATTAATAGAATCCATGCACAAAGAACCTTGATTACACACTCAAAGCTCAAGATGAGCAAGTCTTTCTCCACTTTGGTCAAGCAAGAATTCAGTGCTACTCCTGTCCTGATGAAATTAATAGTTGAGGCTGATGAATGCACACCCCCCTACTTCAAAGAATAGACTGAGTCCAAGCAATTCTGCTGCTCTAATAGCCAGGTCTCCAAGACAATACACAATATCATAGTCTACCACCTACCCACCCAGAGCTCCACTGCACATGTCTTTGCATACCAGCTCAATAATTCCAGCTATGTAAGAATATATGAAGGGAGGTAAGGCCTTGAACTTCATACTCCAGTTATAACCACCCTTCAGAAGCCTCCAGGACTCTCTCACAGGCCGCTACTCTACCTAGGAAAAAGCCCGTAGAACTTCTTTCCTTTGGACTATCCAGGCAGGATCACAGGAGACAACAGACTGGGTTAGATGGTTGATGAATTAGCACACAAACATGAAGACAGAATTTTGTCACAGTGTGAATGTATTGTTTATCAAATACTATATTCTCCAGTAATGTATACTTTTAAGAAACCAGAAGAAATGCAGGGTTCTGGATGTTTCCTTTTGACAGACTGTATTTCACGTTTTGGGCAATAATCTTGGCCCCTTTGTAATTCTTTCAGCCAAAATATTCAGACCAGCATGCCAAAAATCATACTGAAAAATCCAAATTTAAGCAGCTGAACCAAAGCACCTTGCTTTTCTCAATTTCTATGCAGAGCTGGACTCCTATTAATCCAAAAAGAGATGAAGATGCCAATATTTGAAACATATTTAATACAATGAATGAGTAAGAAGCTTTTGCAAAGAGAAAAAGACAAATCCATATGGATTATATACATGTTGCAAAGGCTGTTATGGAAATACAGGTTGCTTTTATTTAAGCTTCTAAGTATGAGATGTTTGCAGTTAGCTATTATACAAGACTACCATCAAAAAGGATGAATACTTACCAATAAGGTTGATTAAAAGTTATGCTCATCAAAATTGTTTAATCTCTGCTCAGTTTGCCTGTATACACAGGCATACTAAACTGTCAGCTGCTTTACAGGGAAATCATTCTGAAGGACGAGCATTCTTGACAATGTCACCAATGTGTAAGAGTAAGCAGTTTTTCTTTCTGTAGGAAACGTAGAGGTCATTGCTTCATTTGTATGTTAAATTTGTACTGTGTCAGTTCTGAATTTATTTTTTTTTTTTATAAATTTAAGGATGCTTTCAGCAGGAAAGACTTATTACCATTTTCCCCCAACCTTTAAAGTGTCTTCAACCAATCACAAACTCTTCTTCTGAAGATGATGCTGATTTGTGTATTTGCATGTAGCAAATGAGGAAACCAGTTTCTTAATTTAAGACTAATTGTACTTGCAACTTCAGGGTGTAATTCCTTCCATTGGAGCTGGTAAAAACTTATGAGAAACACCACCACCAGCAAGCAAAGAATTCCCTTTAGGCAGGACTGTAAAGTGAAGGTGCAACGTTCTGGATAAGGAATAATCAAGTCTGTGGCATCACAGTTGCATTCTTGTCAAGAGGCTGGCCTAACACTGTATTTGTGAGGAAAAAAAGTGTATATGGTCCCATGATTGAGGACTGCAGAAAGATAAATGTTAGAGACATTCTGACCGAACAGGTATTTCTGAGTTGCAGTTGCATTGCTTCCATGATCACATTTTTTATGTGAGATATTTCTTAGAAATGTAAAATGACATAGGAGATGGAGTAAAAGAACTGTAACACAAAATCTCCCAGTTCTACTGAACTACTAGCAACAAGTCATCTGGCCAACTACCAGCAACAGCCCATCCTCTCAAATTCAGGAGAAGTACAGAGATTATTTGGCAGCATCTCTAAGTCTATAGTAGTGTATTTCTCCCTTTCAGCCCTTAGTACACAGTTCCTAGGGAACACTTCATCCAGTTCTCTCTACTTCCAACCTCATGAAGCATATTAAACCCTCTCAGAAACAGTTAAAAGAACCAAAGGCAATGCAGTTTCTTGTATGCTTTATATGAAGTAGGAAAGGAATTCAATGTTTGTCTCGTATGAGGTCTCTACAAATACTTTTGGAGGCCAGAATTTCTGCTTCTGCTAGCAGAACCAGTTGAATGCAGAAACAATCACACCAAGAGCTGGGAATTGGGTTGAAAAGTAAGAACAGCCCAGTTTTACCCATCTTCCTTTCTTATGTACTGAACTGCACAGGGGAGACACCATCACAACAGTAGAAACATTTCAAATAGAAAGACAGAGATCTATGCATGTTAATCTGGGAGAGGGTTTTCCCCCAGCAGATGCAGCAGCCCTCCCATTCATTTTGTACCATACCGTGCGTGTGTGGTATTGACTGGCATGCCGTGAAAGTCCTGTCAACACTCTTTGTGCTTCTCAATATGTTAAAACTGTCCTTGCTCTAAGTTCAGTCTTCCCTAAACAATACAGCAGCTAAAAGAAAGCTTTAGTATCTGAGAAATGAAGTGCTGAAGTATGGAAGTTTATTTTTATTTTTTTAGAAACAAATTAAAAGGTGTTATGAAGAGAATTTATTTGGTCAACAAAAGGAAACCCAAGCAAAACAATGAATTTCTGACAAAACCCGCCAAAACCAAGAGTAAAGACAAATGCAGGACTGTTCATAACTTTCCCCTTTCCTGTCTCACACAAGTTTTTCAGATTAATCACACTAGTAATAAGTCCGGGAGACTTAAATTTCAATGTTCAATTGTCACATCTAAACTGAAAAGAAAATGCTGCTTTGAAAAAACATAGAAAGTAATAGTAAAACCAAAGCTATTAGAAACTGCGCTGCAGCCTTGCTTTGGTGCAGCTGGCTGCTGCAGGGGACACAGCACAACTGACAGTGTGTATTACAGACCACACATGCTAGAGAGATACACCAGACACAGTGGGCATGAAATGAGTTGTGACCCTCCTCTGTTGCCAGAAAGGCACATGAATGTTTGTCACAAAGCAGCATAAGGTTCCTTTGCCCTGGCATGGACATGCTGCTTAATATGAACTACAGCCCTTCAGCACACAATGACAGGTAGCAGCAATGCTTCACAGAAAGTCCTTGGAAGCGTTCAGTGTTCCATATTCTCGGTGTTCCACAGAGTCACCAGTCCTGCCCCTCAAGTGACAGAAGTGGAGCCAAACAGCCTGTGCTGTGGATGAGTACACAGAGGCACATCTAACTTGCCTATGTTTAAACTCTGAGCACGTAATATACAGATGGGCATTGGAAAGCAGCACCTAAAATAAACACAACCCTTGGGGCTACATATCAAACTAACACATCTTCTTTAAAGCTTCAAACCAATTACATGCTTTTTATTAGAATGAAAAAAAAAAAAATCACTGTAGGCACTGGCCTCAAAAGTACTTTGTCCTCTTCAGTTTCTCTTCTGCTAAACAGATCTCTAACAGACATGGCCACATCAGGCTTCTCCCCCACTTCCCCCAGCTCCTTTATTAAAACATTCTTCTATATAATGGTGCTTTAGAGTCAAACTCCTGCCAGACAAGTATCAGTTTGGAAAAAAAAACTTCCTGCTTTATTATAAACCTTTGAAAGATAATTCAAATGGCTGGGCTACAGTAATTTGATATGTTGTATCTTGGCCAGTGGGCTCCCTGTTCTCAAAAAAATCCAGGATTAGCAGACATAACACTTCAAGCTGTGCTCTGTTAAACAGGATCCAAATGCTACTATGTTAAATAAGACTAGAAAATAGGATCACTCAATTTCCTAAATGAGAAGAGCAGACATCGCATTTTCACATCGCTTTAAGTTTTCCCAGTTTACTGAATATAGACATTGTTATAGTTCTTGCAAGCAGGGTCAAGGCAGGCAGGTATAAAATAAGTGAAACTCTGACTTAGGTTTAGTATTACGGTCCCTCCTATTACTACTTGACAACTGTACATAGGTAGAATGGACTCTGACTATCACTGACAGACAGTGTAAAAGAAACACAGGGCAAAGAAATATGCTGCCCTTGCCAGCCTCTTCCCCAAAGCTCAACCAAAACCAAAATTTGCAGTTTATTCTTTCAGGAGCATGACCTGACTGTGGCACCCAACCCTACAGCTCTGTGTCAGGTCCCAGCACAGTCCAGGTGCTCACAGCTTAAGGGGAATAATGGGCCAGTATTTAGGTTGCTTTTTGTCACAGTTTCTATCAAAGATAAGCTGCATGGCAGCCTCCATTGCCTGAATCTTCGCAGCTTCAGCACCATACAGTTTCTTCATTTCTGCCGTTCGCCTTTCCCCGGGTCTTTCTGCAGGTGGCTGCACAGAACGCTCTGTCCTTTTGTAAAGGTCTTGATCAGCCTCCACATACTGGTGCTCAGCTTCCAGCTGCTGCTGTCTCCCTAGAGAAATAAACCACAGGAGATATAAGTTACTGAGCTGTCAACCAACCATTTTATTTTAACTTTTTTAATATTACATATTCAAATTTGTGCTGGGTCTAGGGGGCTGAGATCCACACATTCTAGGGTGCAGTCAACTTCAACAACTTAGAAAACAAACTGCATGTTACTTGTCCTGCTGTGCTCATTATGCATGATGACAAATTCCTATTATATATCATGATAAAGCCTATGGAAGAAGTGTGAAGAAAGGAAGATGATCCCAAAATTGAATCCTAAAACTGTGGAAAACTTCTGTATATATACAAAATATATATAATAAGTAAAAATCAGCATTGCTTCATTTCTCCCCAACATACACATGCCCTGAAAAGAAAAAAAAACCCAAACAAGACAGTTACTTCCAAAGTAATGACTTAGCAGGTGACATAACAAAACAACGCACAGGGCAATGCAGCTTTAGCTGAACCACAGCCAAGAGAAAGCGCACTCTATGAGTACATAGAGCTACTACTCTATGAAAATGGACAAATCAGTCTGTCACATAAGTGTCTGCTGTCAACTGCATCCAATGAAACAAAGCTGTAAGCACTGTGTTTAGATCAACTATCCAACCTCATCCATTTCTCAAGACTTGCAAAGTTCAAAACTGACAACCTTACTGCTATTGCTTTCAAGACAAATCAAAACAGCACCCAACATAAATCCCTGCCCAAGTCTTTTAAAGAGGATTTAAAACAGTTCAGAGAGGTGAAACATCTGGCCGAATCTGTCTTCAAAAATCCTCTTTGGTAAGCCCAATTGGGAAGGAACAACTTGATTTAGTGTACCCAAACTTAACTCCACTTTCTAGGTGCTGCTCTGATGGAACAAATAATGCTCTGTGAAGCTAAAACAGCAAAGTACTACACAAGACTCTTCTCTTATGGGGACATTTCTACAAGTTGAACTCTTTTGCCTACCAATTACAAGTAACAGTTCTCAAAACCATGTCACTGAAACAGATCACTACTAATGACATCACTTTTTTAAAAACAAAAAATACCCCAAACCAAAACATTAAAAGGGACAGAGTGTCCACAGGTCAGGATGCATTAGTCACATACAGGACATGCTTCTCTGCATTTGGTGCCATATACTGCTCTCCCTCCTTCCCCTAAGAGAGAGATACAGCTTCCACAAACACATGACATCTGCAAACCCTAATGCAATGTTAGGTATCCTGACATATCTGTGTCAAACATCTGCAGCTGATTTTTACACTGGAAAGTACTGATAGAGAGCAGCCACATGACTGTCTGTCAGCCTTCCTAAATGAATTATCCTCTGTACCTCAATCACAGAAAATAGATATTTTAAACAGTATAATCAGAAACTTCAATTTTGGCATCTGTTTGTCTGACAGGTACACAGCTTTTGTTATGTCATTTCAAACACCATCCACGGTTTTGTACTGGTAGTCGAAGGGCAGGAGGGCTTGATGGGTTATTAGCAATGTATTCCAGAGAGCCGTTTCATTTTCTGAGATTTTGCTTTAAGGACACACCCCTGAAGTGGGCCGCACTGCCAGAATTCACAAGGAAACATACATTAGAGTCCATATGTTTTTGGAAGAGTCAGATTTATTTGGTGTCAGGCCATTTTAACCAGAAGGTCTGAATTAGAAGAACTAACACTGCCTACAGAGGGCCCAGCACTATGAGGACAGGTTATAGCGCTCAGGCTCTGACTACACAGGTCACTCTCATCCCACTGAAAACAAACTTCCTGGGACACCAGACTGCACACAGCTAGGTAACATGCTTCTAAGCATGAACCTAATGTAATTTGTGCTGAATAATGTTAGACAGAAAACAAAAATCTATGCTGAAAACCCATTGTTTCTCACTATAGGTTATACAGCAAAACTCTGGCAGGGCAATAAATCGAACCCATATTTGTTGACTCTCTTGGGCCACAAAGATAATTCCTTGTACTTCTGTATTGCCCATGGAAATTTTTTATTCATTAGTTTCATAGTTGCATGCTAGAAACAGCTGCTTCCTTGCTTGCTTGGCATAGAATGCTCTCTGATAGCTCATTGCACAGAATAACACTTAAGAAAAATTAATTTCTCTGGAGATAGATAATGAATTCTTCTGTTTGGAAATTAAATGAGTCTCTAGCAGAAGCTTTATGATGGATGAGTGGATTACAGTTTAGTGTGCATCCATCTCCATTTTGTAGCACAGAGTAGTTCAGAAACCCACACATCCTAATGTTAACAATCAAAATAATAATACCTACTTAAATTCCATCCTCAAAACTACCTAACAATGTCTGGAGTATGTTTTACTTTATCAGATGTACTGCCATTAACTTTCTAACCTGACTTTTACTATTCCATTGTTACTGGTTAAAAAATTCCCAGAGTGACTCTGTTACAGCCTCAGACATGTAAATCGGGTCTACAGAGTCCAGGCAGAGGCTGGGGACAGAAATCTGCTACAGGGACTCATGTTTTTTTTATACTAAAGGCTGAATTTGAGCATAGAACAAAGCAGCTGTTGCTGCTAATACCGCTGTGACTGTGTGGAATATGTTGCAGTTTCAAATAAGTTATTTGTGGAGAGATACTACCACGACAAACTCACTGTCAGTGATGGCACTATTTGCTGTTATGGACAATCAAGGAAAGAGAAGCCATGGAACTAAATGGGTATGTAAACTACTGCTTTTCCAAAAGCAGTATTTCCAGCCAGAGATATGAAATAGGTGACAGCAGAGAAGTTTTGTCCTGTTGAGATGCACACTAAACGTTCTTTGGTGAGGCAGGGGCTAGGAAGTAGAACTGCTTTTATTTCCATCAGTCTGGGTTCTTTCCATTACCTCCAAACTTACTTTAAAAACAATATAAAGCAATACAAATTGAGCTAAATGTACAACTACGTCTTAATCAAGAGGATGACAGCAAGCATCTGACAATGGAAAAAACAAAATTATAAACTGTCTAATAGCTCTAAACCTATAGGGGCAACCAGAATTTCTCTGAAGCAAACACCAAATATTTGTCCATGAATAGCAAGGTTTATCAAAACACTAATTCTCAGCCTGCAGCAATTAAGTCCCCAGCTCATTCTCAAATCAGTTTCACACTCCAAATTCTCAAGTTATTGTGCTGTCAAGTTCTAAATGTGAAACAAATAATTTTCACACAATTCTATGTAGTTCCTCCTTCCACTTCACATAGGCTAAAATAAATGCGCTTTCATTTACAGCATTCAGCTTCAACTATTGGCAAGCTTCTCCCAATCATGGAACAGTATTTTGCAAAGGTTCACAAGGCATGCAGGGCAGCTGCAGTGGTGGCTGCTTCCTGCACAAAGGAAAAGCATTGCTGACATTTTCTTAATTGGTCAGTTTCGTTTCTTCCCAAAAATTCTCTTCCTCTCTTGAAGCTCTTTTCAGAATTAACCTATTCCCACCAAGTCCAGTTCTGCTGGGAAGTCATCATTACCTGGCCAAAATCAGTTGAGACAGCTTTTTTCCAAACACATTCAATAGCCTTTTTTCTTTATATTTAAGGAATACCGAGATCTCTACCCAACTCATACTGCATCCTGCGACTGATCAGTATTCTAGGCCTTCTGGAAGAAAATTTTGGGTTGCTGTTCCCCCCCACACTTTTCCCACCTTTTATAGATGACTTGTAATCTGGGCTATACTCACTGAAAAGTGAACAAATATACACAACTACCCCCATCCCCATGCACTGCCAAAACCAGGATAAACAGTAACTAGTATCTTAGTTATTTCACTGCAGTTGGGGTTTCATATGCAAACGCCCTCTTACACACTTTCAGCAAAACTATGACCTAAGCCTTTCAGGATGTAAGCTTTTTTCCCCATAGGCCCTTAGAAACTCAGATGTCTTGTTTCTCTTACTTTACAAAAAGGAAAACGTCATATATTTTCCATAAATTTGATCCACTTTGCCCTTCTTTCTTTCTTTCTAATATCCTTTGAGAAGCTGAAGTAGTAATAAAAAAAAAATTTCCTCTCTGGAATTCATCCTTTTCTTATTAAAGAAAAAGACAAAACACAACTGCAAAACAAAACAAGGAAAGAAACAACCTCAAGACCAAACCCCAAATAATTTCTCTTATTTGGAGATAAGTCTCCATGGAGAGACTTCTCAACATTAAAAGGAGGTAAAAGTAGGGAGGGTAATTATCTATGTTGTATTTTTGATGAAAGATTCATACCTCACATTGTGTTGTTTCTTGTACCATTTTCAGCTCTTAATATTTATACGTCCCACCCTTAGCTCACTGTAGCCAGTGATCATATGCAATCTGATGACATCTCTTATACAGGCAGCCTTCTCCAGCTCTCTAGGTGCACGAATGCTGCAGTCTGCCATGCTCTGCCCCACATGAGGGTAGCTATGGAAAGAGACCAAGGGCTTGCTCCTCGTAAGTGTCCAATGGCCTTTACTGACTTTGAGTTTCTTGCTTAGTTAGCACATTATTCTTCAAGGAAATATTGCACTTTGCCCAGCCTTGATCTGTTTTTTCTTTTCCATGATTTCAGACTGACCTATACCCCTGTTCATTTGTCTGCTTAATTCAAATGATGAATGATTTTCTGTTACTGCTGCATGTGCACTTTCTGAGCTTTCTCATCTTGTCTTAAATGCTACCTGAGTTGATCTTGAGCAGCCCACACTAACAGAGTTAAAAACACTACCCATTTCTACTGATTAAAAACTCCTAGTTCTCTCTTTGAATGCCACTTCCCACAGGCCTATCTGCTGTGTTAAATGTTCTGCCCACACAGGCTTCTCAATGCTAAATGCCAGCTTCTTCATCTCCCTAGAAAACCTTAGTACCTTTACCATAAACTTAGATGAGTTTTCCTGAAGTGATAGCAGCAGACCATTTTATTATGCCTGTACTTACATGAACCAGGCATACCATGGGGAAAACCAAAATCTTTGCATAAAAGGAATTCCAACAAAA